AATAACATTATCATAATCATGGAATAATATAAGCTGTAAAACATAACACTTATCACGCCTCTTGTAATTCAATCATTGTACAACATATCTTTTTCTCATTTACCAGCCTACTAGTATCCGTGGGGGTCCATAGGGGTTCCGCTACCCGTTAACCTTTAACATTCATAATCAGTTTCCAGGACCGTCCCCATACCCCATCCGGTATGGGCGCCAAAACCATGAACCTCAATACCCCGTCCGGTATGAGGGTGAAACGGGCCGTCCCCATACCCCGTCCGGTATAGGTGCCAAAACCATAAACCTCAATACCCCGTCCGGTATGAGGGTGAAACGGGCCGTCCCTATACCCCGTCCGATATGGGTGCCAAAACCATAAGATCTCCATACCCCGTCCGGCATGTGAGACCACAATCCCGGTAGGGTTCCCTACGGACCTGGTCCGTCCACCATCTCCCAGGATATCTAGTTAGGCTGACCCTCATAATACAATTATCAGTCTACACAATCTTTCATTTTCCTTTTCCTCAGTCAGCATCATCAATTCACATACAAACAGCAAAACAGTAATTCATGCCGAACAGACAACATACAGTATCAGTTTTTCAGTCATTCAACCCATGATTAATAAAAACGTAGTATTTGCACACAAATCTGTAAAATGAACACATCAAACCTCATTTTGCATTTAAAGCTGTAAACAGGCTAAATAACAGTAAATCACCAATCACACTAGACTCGGGCTCCATTAGCCACCTTAAGCAATTTCACACATTCGTTAATTCAAGAAATACCATTTTATCATTTTGAACTTTAATACCGTGATAGGAAATAGGGTGAGGGGTCCTTACTTGTTTTCGGGATCCGAATACGATTCACAGTGCGCCTGCAGGCCGTCCCTAATTTTCCCTGAATTTTTTCCGGGGAACTGAAACACACTAACAGTACCTGCACGTGTTCCAAAAAAAATCCAAATTAGGCCCAGGGCCCCTTTCGGACCAAATCGCAACTCCGGCACGGCGGCGACGAGTCGCCTCGGGTTGGCTGTTTTCGGCCGAATTCGGCCACACTCGCATTGGTCCTTGTCAGAAAACAACCCTAGGGCCCTCGGGGGGCCAAAAATCACGGAAAAGCGGAGCTTACCGGCGGCGACGCTCTCGGGTACGGCGGCTCTCCGGCGAGGTTCGTGTTTTGGTGATTCGGCTTCGGTCAACCTGTAGAGAAAAGAATGGTGATCACGGTGATATAAAAATTGCATCGAATGGAGGCCGGGAAGGACCTCGTCGGAGGCAAAAACCGAGAGGGGCGCGGCGGCGCCGCTGGGTTTCGGCCGCGTATTCCGGCCGTTTGGCCGGGATTTCGGCCTCAATTTGGCCATAGGAGGAATCAGCGGAGAAAAACGAGTCGGGGGTATGAAATTTACCTCGATCGGCAGTCGGAAATTTCCCCGGTGCGGCGGCGGGTGGCGGCGGTCGGCCTCTGGTTCGTCTTCTCCGGCGAGCGGCGGGCGGCTAGGGTTTGTGGTCTGGTGTGGGGGTTCTATTTATAACCCATTGCCTTTTGATCACAGCCGTTCATTTCGTTTTAATCTGGGCCGTTCATTTTTGATTGAATCTGGGCCGTCCGATCGCGCGATTGATCTGGGCCGTCAGATCGCACCCACGCGGATCGCCAACGTGGCTCCTTTCGGAGTGACGCGGTCTTGCCACGTGGCAGGCCCCGGTTGGCCGGGACTGCTGACCGAGCCTGCTGACGTGGCTGCTGACGTGGCCCCCTTTTTTTTCTTTTTTTTTTTTTTTCCTCCTTTCCGGGTGCTACATATTTAGTTATATTTTTTTAAATTATAAATTTATGTTTTATTATATTTAATAATTATTATTTTTACTTAAAAATAAAAAATATTTTAATTTATTTTAACCGGACCAAACTAAAACAAAAAAATTAGTTTAGATCAAATTGAACCAAAACGAGAAAAGTTTAATCTTTGTTCCAAATTATTTTTTTATTTTAATTTTGATGAGGTCGGAATTGATATAATTTAGTCGAATTAGGATTATCTAACACCCCTGGCCAGGGGCGGTATCATTGACACGGTATCGTTTTACTAAAAGAGTCAAAGCTGAAGAGACGAGCTTGAGGCGCTGAAGAAAAAGAGACGTTGCAAAGGAGGCTTGCTGGGGAAGCCTTCGGGTGTCCATAAATCTGAAAAGAAGCAGAAAAAGAGCCGCGGTCGAAAAAGGGGATGCAAGCCGAGAAAAGGAGGTGCTGGGAATTGACTAGGCTTTCTATTTGAGGAAGAGAGTTCATCCAAAAAGAAGAAAGCCTAGGGGAATTTGAGGGTGACATTGAGAAGAAAAAACTAGAAGCCAAGTGGAGCCGAGAGAGAAAGGAAGAAACTCTAGAGGAAGGAGGGGATTATTTCTTCTTCTCTTGTGAGATTTGATGTTTAATGAAGTTCCGCTTTGATGATCTGGATATTGGCCCTTGAGGTGTGATTGACAAACTGATGTTAGCATGTTGATCTTCTTTCCTCTATCTCATCTTATCCCTTTTCTGTCTGACATACATTGATAGCTCAGTTTAATGCAAATGACGGGGTCCAAAACTTTGGTCTAAATGTGCTGTGGTGAATGCATGATCATGA